AATAAATAAGAATAGATAGTAGAGAAATTAACACAACTGGAAGGCAAGAACTGTCCCCTTCACCTTAAGTCCTCCTCCACAGCGCTTTATGTGTGTGATTTTAGAAGCTCCTACTGCAAATAAGGTGTATGTTTGCATGGTCTGTCTAGTTTAAATGGGAGGAGTGTGGCAGTGGGTTGGGGTCTGAGCATGTAGGCAGAGACTGAAACCGAAACATAGTAGAGAAATTAACACAACTGGAAGGCAAGAACTGTCCCCTTCACCTTAAGTCCTCCTCCACAGCGCTTTATGTGTGTGATTTTAGAAGCTCCTACTGCAAATAAGGTGTATGTTTGCATGGTCTGTCTAGTTTAAATGGGAGGAGTGTGGCAGTGGGTTGGGGTCTGAGCATGTAGGCAGAGACTGAAACCGAAACAGTAGAAAGAGCAATTGCCCAGCTGGCTTTGTTAATTAGTCAGCTCCTTCAAGGGGAAACTGGGAGAGCCTTAACTCTCATTAAATTTGGGAACTGCTAACTTACAGTTTTAATGGCTTCACGTAGTCTTCGTCCAGACATTGTCCTGAAAGACATGGAATTAGTATGTCTCCATATGTTCCACACAGCTATTGTGCAATAAGATCAACTTCAAGGAAGTCTGAAGATCTGGAACTCTTTAGGTTAGAAGAAAATCAAGGATAATCATTGACATTCCCATAATAGTAGGGAGCAGGGATGACCTGGAAACTTCTATGCACCACAGTTCTCCTCGCATTGCAGTGCAACTGACTTATGTTCCAGCACTTTCCATGAATCTTCTAGGGTAACTATGTATATCTACTCAAATTCCATTGAATTTAATGGGGCTTACTTTCAAGGAAGTATATAAGATTTCAGCCTTAGTCATGACTATATTTTGCTGGATTGAGGCCACTGGATTCTAACTGTTCTGTACAGTAAAATAGGGAGTGGATTTTCCTCTGTTGATTGTACAGTATATTAGTATAATATTGTCTAGTTTATCTTCCTAGCTCTTCTCCATAACATTTGGAAACGTGTAGCCTCAGACGTATCTTGCAGCACAAGCTTTTGCCCATGGAACTTTCCTTATGCTGTTTCTGAGCTCAGTACAAAATTTCACCCAAATACATTTAAAAAACATGATTTACTACCAACAGAGGACGTGGATACATACGTAAACTCTCCTGGAATAGCCAGTATCGCCAGAGACCCAACCGTAAGTATTTGAACATCGACAATGCTAGGATGCCATGGGTAGGGGATTGAAAGCTTGAGAAATTTAGGAAAGAAACGGAATTCTGTGTGAATCATTATTATTATTATTTTTAAAGATACTGTTAACAACCAAGCCAAACTCTTCCCCCCCCCCATGTTACTAAAGGGGCTTTTGACAGCGTAGGGAGAACTGTCTGAAGGAATAAGACTGGCAAATCACTGTAACAAGACAAGGGTAGGAAACTGTTACTTTTCTCCAGATGTTGCATTCTGACTCCTTTAGCTACTGAGGCACCAAACTCTGGTCATGATGACTGCAACTAAGGAGAACTGGACTCCAACATCCAACAGGCAATGGGTTCCCTCACCCTGACTTAAGGGCAGACCATCCCCACCTGATTACCCCCAAGACACCTTCAAACATTTTCTGTCTCCACTCAGTTCACACAAGACAACTATATATTTGGATTTAGTAAAAACAAAAGCATGTTCCCAGTATTCTATACCCGCTGCTAAAATGTCCACCAAAGCCCTCCAATACGGAGGGAGGAATAAATAGGAGCCTGTAGCAATGTTGCTAGATAATGGCAATGTTGGATCAAAGCACTGAAAAAAAAAGCCTCTACTTATGAATGCATGCAGTTAGGAAAAGGATAAATAAGCTTCATCCTCATTAGTTGACTGGAACAATAGATCCAGATGTGTTGGGGGAGAGATAAGACCCAGTCTTCCATTTGCAGGCTTCAGTTTGAAGCCTTAATGGCAAGGCAAGGGAACCTGTGACTCTCCAGATGTTAGTCTACAATCTCTGTCTTTCCTGAACGTTAACCATGCTGGCTGGTTCTGACAGGAATTGCAGTCCAATCATCACAGGTTCCTTGCTCCAGTTTTAGAGGGATTAAGAAGTTATCATCCGCATATCTCAAATCTACTGTTATACAGAGGAATGTCTCTCACCAGCTGTTTTAAAGGGCAACTGGAGGGCAGAATTGATCTCCCTGCCTTCATCACAGCTCTGCACATGAAGACCCAGTTGCTTTCATTGGCTATAGCCACAAGCAATGATAATTAGTAGGTTAATAAACCTTTTTGTGTATTCGCGAAGGCTTTCACTGCCGGGATCTAATGGTTGCTGTGGGTTTTCCGGGCTCTTTGACCATGTTCTGAAGGTTGTTCAGAACAACCTTCAGAACACGGCCGGCCAAAGAGCCCGGAAAACCCACAACAACCATTAAACCTTTTTGTGTATGATAACAATTGACATCATGTGACTTTTCAGACTAATTATTTCAATCTCATTCTGCCTTTCAAATAATAACAGTCTGCAATATTGTACATAGTCCAAGATAGTTTTGAAGACAGAAGAAGTTTCAATGTCTCTTTATCACCCACTGCAGTGTGTGCATGGTAAATGAGAGCAATCCAGAAAAATATGGTACAGAAAAACGCACATGTGCACATGTTCTACCCTGAGGCTTATGTAAACCTTTTGAATGTGCATGTTGTAAATTTCGAAGGTGGGAAAGCACAGGATTAAATGGGCAAAACAAAATACCAGAGCTGCCAAGGCTGAACTCTACCTTCTCCATGTTCAGGAGATTGGTGGCTGAATGCTTCCTTTTCAGGCAGGCTTTTAAGCAGCATTCATTCATTCATTCATTCATTCATTCATTCATTCATTCATTCATTCATTCATTCATTCATTCATTCATTCATTCATTCAATTTCTAACCTGCCTTTCTTCTTTAAAAGGGCCCAAGGTAGCTTACAGCAATTAAAATACAGTATTTAAGATTAGTAACAACGAGTGTACAATATTTAAAGGATCAATGAATACAATACCAAAAGACAGAAGTGACACAAACAAAAAGGCATTCAATGCAGTAAGGTACCAAACCTATTTAAAAAAACCCCACTCGGCAGCCATTCACTCAGGGAAAGCTTGCCTAAAGAGAAAGGTTTTTTCCTACTTGAGGAAGGACAGCAAAGATGGGGCCAGCCTGGCCTCCTGTGGGAGGGAGTTCCAGAGTTTGGAAGCAGCAACACAAGAGGCCCTCTTCTGCGTCCCCACCAAATGTACCTGTGAAGGTGAGGGGACCGAGAGGAAGGCCTATCTTCTGATAATCTTGAGCAGGCTCGTAAAGGGAGATGTGGTCTTTAAGATAGCTTGGGCCCAAGCCATTTAGGGTTTTATAGGCTACAATCATTACTCTGAATTCTGCCCAGAAACAGGTTGGCAGCCAGTGGAGCTGCTGTAACGGGGGTTATGCAACCCCTGTGTCCAGCCCCAGTTAGTAATCTGGCTGCTGTGTCTTGGACCCACTGAAGTTTCCAGGCACTTTTCCCAGGCAGCCCCATGAAGAGTGCATTACCTTATCTAGCTGCGATGTAACTAAGGTATGTAGGCCAGCTAAAAAAGGCACAACATTTTCTGTGCATTCAACATGACCGGAAACATTGGCCTTCATCATCAGCACCACTGTCTTGCCCAAGATAAGTATGGGGTAAGTGAAATCTGTGCAAGCTAAGACAACAACATGGTTGTTATGAGTTTTTCGGGCTCTTTGGCCGTGTTCTGAAGGTTGTTCTTCCTAATGTTTCGCCAGTCTCTGTGACCAGCATCTTCAGAGGACAGCACTCTGTGCTCTGGTGTAGTTGGCTTGGGAGTGCAGTATTTATGGCTGTGAGATAGGCTTTTGTCTTTTTCTGTAGATGGGTGATTAGTGTGTCTTGTAAGACAACAACAAATACTACTACTGCAAAGAGGAAGGAACTTGTGTGATGACTTGGGTAGCTAATGAGGAACAACAAATTTAGCTCTCAGTTGGAGAAGTAAGCTGTGGATCCACCTAAGTATAACCTGTACATGTGCATATGTTACAACATGCCATGAGATTCCAGAGCTATGTTTCCCAAGAAAGACCAACCTGGATAATCAGTACATCCCTGAAATTTTCCACCACTGGGACTGTTGCAATGCTATCTCCCTAGATTGTGACAACAATAAACCAATTGAATCAAGCTAAGCAAAAAAAGGAATGTACTCCTGGTGGTGACATTTATTATTATTTTTAAGATACCTCTCCTGTAGGAAAGAAGATGGGCTTAGGTTTGTGGCATTCTTTTGTTTCATTGGATGGCTTAACAAGAAATGCGTCACGGACAGCATCCCAGAACGAATTACCTTCTATGGTCCCTGTCGACAGAAATGAGACAGAAGATTGTTTCCAGCCTCCTGGTTAGGTTTTCAGCTAATACACGTGGAAAATTTACAGCTAGAATCTAGTAGATAAATTTCTTTTTTTAAATCATAATTTACATAACCCAGAACTCTCAAAAGGAGTTTGAAGGATATGTTGTTTCAGTTCTCTTGTTGGAAACAATAACTAGCTAACAAATTTTCTTAGTTTTCCCTCCAAAAATGTTTATAATGCAATTGCTAATTTTTGTTATTAGTCTGCTGGTTTTCAGGCTGAGGACACTGTCAACAGGTTTCTGCTAACAATTTTATCCTGGTTTTATGGTGTGCTGTTTTCATTTACTGTATCATTGTTTCTGTTTTAACTTCTAATATACTGCACATCAGCCAGACTCTAAAAGTTATCTGTACATGATGCCAACATAGAAGGCCGCTTGCCAAGGTTGCACTAGAATAAAAGATATCTGATATATCAGAATGATCACCAACAGATTTCAAGGTCAGTGGTGAATGCTAAATATTATGCACCTACTAACAAAAATCACTTACCTTGGGTAAAATTGAACATTCCTGGCCCATCTATGGTACCTGCAGCAAAACTGTACCCCAAGGCTGCTTTGCATGTTTTAACCTTTTGGGAAAGCATTATGAAAAGTTAAGCTGTGCATTTTAAATACCTGTAGATTGTTATTTAATGACTAAAATATATAGTGACAGTCCTTTAAATAAATAAATAAATACTAAATAAATAATATTTACCGTATGAGTAGCATTGAGCTGTACAGTAACATTGCTCATGTCGACCCACTGGTGAGCTGAACTAATGGGACCATTGATCTCGTCAGAGGCCGTCATGTATAGTTCCTGGAATACAGATAAGAGTCACTGAAAAGGCAGCTCCAGTCTGCTTACCTGTATCCTCAAACTACTGTATCCGTGCTTCAAATGGGCAGAGCAGGCTGGACCACACTGAGCTGCAGTCCCACTGTGAGGGCACTGCTTTGCTCTTTACTCTTGAGACAGAGAGAAGGAGCAAGCCCTTAGCTGGCCCAAGACATACTTTGTTGTTGTTGTTGTTTTGCCACATATGAAACGCAAGACGGCAGTCCCCTCTCTGCCACTACATCCCACACCACCCCTTTCCTTGTTCTTTTTGGACTACCGTATTTTTCCATGTATAAGACTATACTTTTGTCTAAAATCTTTAGACTAAAAATTGAGGGTTGTCTTACACACGGAAGTAAGCTGAGGAGAGAAAAAACAAGTGTAGGGGAAAGCGGATCAAAGTGATCCTCCAGGGCTTTGATCCTTCCTTTCCCCTCTGCTTACTAATTCCCATGGGGCTTAGCAAGTGTAGGGGGAAAGGATCAAAGGGATTTTTCTTGGACTTTCCCCCTCCTTTTTCTTAGATCCCTTTCACTGTCCTTTTGCTAAGCCTGCATGATTTGATACCTTTCCCCCTACACTTGCTAAGCCCCACGTTGAGTTCTTAATTTTGGCTTAGAAAGGGGGGGTCTTATACATGGGGGCATCTTATACACAGAAAAATACGGTATATTAAGATACTACTGATGGGCATCTGGTTTTGAACATACAGGTTCAAAAGCTGACCAGATGGGCCAACTTCTACAAGACTGACAGGAGAAAATCCTGCACCTGAAGTTTGCAGGTAAGCTTATAGCTGGCATGGGAATCATCTGATCTGAAGGATGCATTTGTGCAACCCCTGGATGCCCCTGAGAAAACAGTCTTCCCAATGTTAAATAACCCCCCGCAACCCCAGGAATTATGCATCTAGGGGAGTGGATCCCAACGTTAGGTAACCCAGGTGTTCTTGGCCTGAAATTCCCAAAAGCCTTCATCACTAACTGTGTTGGCTGGGGTTTCTGGGAGTTGCAGTCCAAGAATACCTGGGTTACCCAAGGTTAGGAACCACTACTCTTGGGATGTCATTCCCCTCTAAAGCAAGGTCTGCTCCTATTATTTTTCCTTTGCTTCAATCTCCTTTGGCTTTAAAACAGGGAGCTGATGTTTTTAACTCAGAAATGGCTTTCTGGTGATTTCCAGTATCAAATGGAGAAATGCTGCAGCCTCTGCAGGATTCTATGGCTGGAAAAGACCTTCAAAATTCCCTTGCGTTGGAGGTTACACAGCAAGCCACATGGCACACACTGTTTTGTTAACTCCCTGTCCTTCAATATTTTCTCTCTGAGGCAGCATCTTCTCTCTGCCACATGGTAAACCTGGCTCTGGACCTCCAGCCATAATATTCATTTAGCAGAGGATAGGAGCTCTTGTAATGTAACTTCTTCTCTTCTGCTATTACCTCATGAAGCTAGTCTTTCTTTCTAGCCAGGAGGAGGTACAGTGGACCCTCGACTTACAGATGGCTCGACTTACAGACTTTTCGAGTTACAGACTTCTCTGGCCGCAAAATTTAGGTTCAACTTGCAGCCTGAGAATCGACCTACAGACCAGAAAAAAACCAAGATGGAAGAAAAATGGAACAAAAATGGCCGGTTACAGGATTAATCAGTTTTCAATGCATTGTAGGTCAATGGAGACTCGACCTACAGACTTTTCGACCTACAGCCACCGTTCCAATTCAGATTAATTCCGTAAGTAGAGGGTCCACTGTACTGAGAAGATTAGCCCCACAATAGATAACATTGTGAGAGAAGAAAGTTAGGACAATGATCCCTTCCTCTACCCTCAGAATTACAGTACCTGCTGCTGAACATAGAACTGGACTACAGCCTTTCTAAAAATCATAAAAAGAATTTTCTACTTATTTAAGATCTTCTTTCCTTCCTTCCTTCCTCTTCCTTTTATTTATGTGAGTGTTACAATAAGCCCAAAGTATGGTCTGATATCTTCCCTCGCTGTTTTAAGATTATGACCCTTCTGATATATAAAAATTCCTCTGAGTATTGACATAATTGATAATTTGGAACTCCCATCTCAGTATATCTGGGGCTGACTCAGAGTCAACAAAGCATGTGAACAACCAAGAGCTAGACTCAATGATCCATAGGGTCCCTTCCACTTCTAAGAAGATTATATCAAGGGGGCAAACTCAGGAAGCTGTGATGGTTTTAAGAAGTGATATTGTGTCCAGTAGCATCTCAATTTTTCCATCATGGAATAAGCTCATTTCTAAGACCTCATTCGCTGCACTCTTGATATTTATATAAATTTTGTTTCCATGTTAGTTTGTTTCCTTTTGATTGATTACAGGGTAGGTGTCCTGTTCCCTTAAAACTCCATTTGGACATGTAGAAACAGTTCTCAAAACAGCCCTTCAGATCTACAGTTAGCCTACTGCCTTTTCCATTTTTTTGTGGTCCACAGACAGAGTCTGAAGCAAGTGCTTAAAGGGAGCTTTTCATGTGTAAGTACACTCTAAGACTATGATTTATTTGTTGCTTCAGATAGAGTTTCATTCCAATTCTTGCAAGAGTCAGGTTGTTAAGAAAATAGTTCCTGTTACTCACATGTGTTAGGTATGTGGAATCATATTCAAGCCACCATCTTGTCTGATGGCTAACCAGGTCCCATCATTATCCAGGACATTTTCAATGTATCATAGATTAACATTTGTATAAAGCAAAACTGTATCTGTTCATTAAGGCTCACCTTTGCTTTCAAGTAGATATTCCTTCCAATTATTTGGGTGCTCTCAAACATATCCTCACCAGGACCTCTAGCCATACACATCTCGGCCTAAATTAGATTGTAGAAGAACAAAACAAAAGGAGAAAACCATAAGCTGCTGAGTACAAAGCTATTGCCATAATTTTTATTAAAAGGGGCATCATGGAAACATGTGTCTTTTCTAATTCTGTGCAGTTCTCTCAAACTGCTTATAAACTGGCCTGAAACATTAAAGTTCTAACTCAGAAAAGCAAACATTCTCCTGAGAAGGTGGTCTAGGCCAGCTTAATTTAGGTATTATATTATATAACAAAATACAATAAGGAAAATAATCAAGCAACTTCTTGCCTCTGCTCGTATTTCTCAATGCCTCCATGATTTTCCTTCCTACTGCTCCACAAAGTCTCCCACCTTCTAAAGATCTTCTGCTTTCACAACTGATTCCATCATTTCTCCTTTCTTTTCCCCTATACTTGGTCCTAAGGCAACTCCTGACTGAAGCAGTGAGGACATCTCATTGACATTCGTACGGGAGGTGACGTCTCTGCTTCAAACATGACCTGTCCTGCTTGGAACCGTCTACCAAAACACCTGTATGATTAATTATACCTCTCAGTGTTCCTTCAAATTTTGAAACCAGTTTGTTTTTCCAGGGGATTCATGGCGGCTTATGGTTAGCCATGAACCACAAACCATCATGAAACACTGGTTTTCTAGTTCGTGCCCATCTCTAGTTATAACCAAGGTAAACTGAAAATGCTGTTAATCACATGGGCATCTGCCTCTGTGTTATCCCTTCCAGCACTCTAAGAGCAGAGAGTTCTATGGTCTCCTGAGCGGAGTCTTATAATGTCTCTCCACTCCACCCTCTTAAAGGGAAGATGGGTGGCAGAAGATTCAAAAACCAAATGTCAGCTCCAGCTGGCATTTTTCCTTTTAAATCACAGAGATGGTCTGGATTTGATTCATCCAATCTGGACCACCTGTAGGAGAAGATACCCCCTCCCCAGCCAACCTGATTGACTGAGACCACTGCCTCAGGATCCTCCATGCTGCTGTGCTTCCTGGGAAGGAGACAACTGGCAGCCTCCAAAATGGTGGCCACCACATGCCCTCGCCCACACTCCCAAATGACAAATACAGTCCCTTTGGTGAGTCAAAGGCTGTTACATTTAGCCAACTACCATATTACAGTTTTTCTTTCTTGAGTATGAGGGAGTGACTGGAATCTCTAGACTTTCAACTTCAGAGAAGAATAATCTTTTATCTAGAGGTAATACTTACCCCACCTATTGGGCAGTAATTGTGGACATTTTCACATGACTCCCCTGTGTTTTCACAGTGTGGACCTTTTATGTTGGGAGACACATCTCCTAGATTAGATGATGCAAATGCTGCTACATATGGTCCCTGAAAGAAAAAGACAGTCACAGTCTTTATACCACAAAGTCTTGATTTTAAGTTCTCTCCTCTGACTCCTAGAAAATGCTCACCTTTTTAATGGTGAGTTTTTGACTCAGTATGACATTCTCCTTAGCCATACCACTAAGGAGCGTCCAACTTTTCAAATCACAGTGCTGATTCACACCAAAAATCCAGTACTAGCAAACACAGTTCATGGTCTAGAATAGACAATTGTTGGATTTCAGTGGACATAATACACTAAGTGGAAGAAATTGAAATATTACTGAACACATATGCAGACCATAACCCAATAACGATGACTCTAGGACAAGCTGCAAGAAGAGGAGGTTGGAGACTTAATAGTTACTTATTGAGAGATGAAGCCTTTCTTATTAAAATCAAAAAAAGAATTAGAATTTTTCTTTCACATTATTAAATCCCAAGATACAGAAATTACAATTATATGGGATGCAGCAAAAGCCTACTTTTGGGGGTTTGTGATAGAGTTTAATGCACGAAGGAAAAGAGAAAAAAATAAGCAATATCAATCATTAATAATATCCTTGAAGAAAGAAGAAACGGAACTGAAAAAAACCCTACAGTTAAGCTGCCCAGAGTGGTAGAGTCTACCAGATGGGCGGGATATAAATCAAATCAAATAAATAAATAAATAAAAATAAGTACCTACAAATAAGGTAAATACTGTATATTGCAGCATAAAATCAACTTATTGGAACAGGAACAAATGGGGGGAATTAAATTTGCAAGGCAAAACTTCTTTGAGAATGCTAATAAACCAGGAAGATGTTAGTATACAGAATTTAAAAAGAGAGAGAAAAAACAATGATCAATGTAATACTGGATAAGGAAGGGCTAGAAACATATAAACAAGAGTAAATACCCCCCAAAAAATAAAATAAAAAATTATACGAAGCTTTATAAAAAGAAAGAAATCGACCAGGAGCAACAATGACACTATTTGGATAAACTTACGGATTGGAGATTTAGCCTCAACAATTGGAAAATCTAAATAAATCAACCATGACAAGTGAAATTGTGGAGGCATGGAAAAAAAGAAAAATGGGAAAGCCCCCGGACCAGATGGACTGCCAGCTGAATACTATAAAGCAGGCTTGTCCAGCCTGCGGCCCGAGGGCCGCATGCGGCCCAGGTCGGCTCGTAATGCGGCCCAATGCAATTTTTTATTTTTAAAGAAATTCCCAAGTTTCAAGTTACACTGCCAGCGCTTGCGGCCGGAATGCGGCCGGGGCACGTCACAACGGTTGGGAGGGGAGAGAGGGAAGGAAGGAAGGAGCAGGAGGCGAGGGGACGGGGGGGGCGCGTGACTGCATTGTGCCATCCCTGTCAATAGGTGGACCCCCTCCCGGCCTCATAAAGCCACCGGAGTCAAAGCTGGCAGCCTCTGCTGTCTGAGATCGCAGCTGCCAGTAAGCGCGCTTGGAGCGGGGCTGCGGAGGACGGCTAGGGCTGCCCCCCCATGCGGCCCAAACCAAATTTATGTGCGGCCCAAACCAAATTTTAATCTTCTAATGTGGCCCAGGGAAGGTGAAAGGATGGACACTCCTGCTATAAAGCATTGGAAGAAACTTTAAGTCCACATTTTTAAAAGTTAGCAGATTATATTGAAACTAGAGGAAAAATTCCAGATTCTTGGAAAGAAGAGGATATTTCCCTAATACATAAAATGAGACGGGAAAAAAACAAATTAAGAACTGGTTGTTGTGGGTTTTTCAGGCTTCTTGGCCGTGCTCTGAAAGTGGTTCTTCCTAACTTTTCGCCAGTCTCTGTGGCTGGCATCTTCAGAGGACAGCAAACTGAAGATGCCAGCCACAGAGACTGGCGAAACATTAGGAAGAACCACTTTCAGCACACGGCCAAGAAGCCCGAAAAACCCACAACAACCATTAGATCCCGGCCATGA